TGCTGAAACTGTTCTGGTGCCCTATAAGAGCTTCTGGGAGGTGTGTGTTTTGAATATTTACACACACATTTTCTAGCCTGAAGTATTTCCTATGTGGTTTGATCTTGCTTGATAAGGCAACACTACTCCTACCTGGAAGCCTTTCCCTCTTCCCTCTTCCTGAGTCAGTGCATCAAGGCAGAGTCCTCCCTGCTCTAGCCTCGAGTTTCCCTGAGAAGCCCAAGCAGTGGCCAATGCCATTGTGCCTCCTGGAGTAACAACTATCTGTCTGGATCTCCTAGGGATTAAATGCCCAAGTGCCAACTCACTCTCCTCTTTTTTTCCATAGTCTTCTCTGTATTCACTAGGAATAGTGTATGGGTTTTTTTCCTCCCTCAATTCATTTGTCAGTCAATGAGCATTTTTAAGAGATCCAATGATACGGTGAAGGAATGAAACCCACCACACCCGAGATGGAGTAGACATTGGCTCACAGCCAACCTCATCAGGTGGTCTCTGAGCCCCTATTCTTAAATTAAACAGTAATGAAATGGTGACTGAAAACCTGAAATCTTGGCTTCAACTCATCACTACCAAAACCCCCTTGCATAGAGGAGATTAAATGCCATAAAACAAACCAACCCCTGCAACAAGAAGAGGGTAAATGCCAGCCTATAGCACAGATAGTAGGGAAAATAGTAACATGGGTAGCATCCCATCTGGTCAGTGCCTTAATGCTCCCATGTGTCTGCACTGTACTTGGAGAACCACTGAACATAAAATATACTTGCTCCAGTCATTATCACATCCACTAGTGCCCGCTTTTCTTTCTGACATCTATAGGTCTTATTCATCCAAAAGTTAACAACACCAGTTGTTTCATAAGCTCAGTTTTAGAGAAAATGTGAAAAAATGGTTAAGAACATGCATGACTCTCCCTTCGGCCAAGAGGCACGTTCAGCCAGTAATCATCTGCCATAGCACTGCCTTTTAGTGAAACACTCATACAAATGAACAGCATCTGATGCTCTCTGCTTGCTAAATATAACCCAGCATGCAGAATTAGCTGTGCAGATGAAATATTCTGTCTAACAGGATAAGAATGACATCACTGCCCAGACCAAAGGCAGATCTCAGTCCTGCTATTTAGCTAGTGATGTGAAAGAGCAGCTGGCACTGGGGAAGCCTGGTGGGACTTGGCAGAGGTCTGAACTCCGTTCCTGCCTTTGCAGTGATCATGGGAAGAAGATGACAAGTTCTTCTCTTCTTCAGTTGACTTTCCGTCACGTGAGCGTTTAATATTCTCCCCTTGTTTACAGGCCTTGCTGCCTTGAGTCTTGGCAAGTAGTTTGGATGCTCCTATAGGCAGGAGAGCTCATAACCTGCTGGGTTCCCCTCGCAGGATGAGCACAGCTGAGACCTGTGGATCTTTAACTGACTCGTGGGCTTGTTGTTGTTGTTGCTGTCTCTCCTTTTCAGGCAGAGAACGTGCCCCAAAAGGAGCTCATCCAACGCATGCAGTGACCAGGAGGTTAGTGCTAATGGCTTCAGCAATTTCTGTTTCTCTCTTTCATATTGGCTGTTGCACTGTTTATCTGACGATGTTTACTGGGGCATGTTCTGAGTTGTAGAACAGGATCCAGAACTCCACTGTCGATATCAATGAGCTCCAGCTGGTGGTGCCAAGTCGAGAGAATGAAAACAACAACCACTCTGTCAGCCGGGAGCAGGCGGGTAAGCGTGGGGCATCGGCCGGGGCAGGTCAGGGCACTCGGTAGCCCTGGGCCAGTTAATCAGATTGTTTCTTCCTTGCAGTCCTCCTTGCTGCCTTGCCCATGCACAGCTGGAGAGCTACTTCACAGCAGAGAGCCTTTGTTGTGGGGACTATCCCTTGCTGCTCTCCCCCCTCACTGGTAGGGTAATTCCCCTGGCAAGAAGCATGCACAAGCACAGCTCCAGCACGCTGCCAACACAAGCTGTCACAGCACATGGCATTGCAGAGATACTGGGTTAGCAGAGCAAATGTGTCAGGTTCAGGCTGCTACAAACAACTCATACAGATCTATAAATTGTCAAAGAGTTTCTTTCGCCCTGTGCCTAACCTTGTCCAGAAAGGATGGGTTTTGCAATGCACAAGTTGGCTCAGGTCAAGTTCAGCTCCTGGAGCTCACTGTTTCTGCATGTCTGTATGGATGGAACTGCTTTAGATGTCATTTACCTCACAGTGTGTTTCCAGCAAAGAGCACCCAAGGCATGCTGCAATTTTGAGTCACAACACATTAACTCTACTGGTGCCCCTTTTGGTTGGTGAGGGCCAACAGGGAGAGACTTCATGTTACATTGCTACACACCATCAGTTTCCCGGTCACTACACGCACATCTCCCAAGGGTATCTTCATAAAAAGCTAATTCTCCACACCCAGCCATGACAGTTTCCCATGTCCTTTGGAAAAGTCATTGTGGAGGTTGTGAACAGAGTTCTCCTGGCCTGGACCAGATGCCAGGCCTTGGAGACACATGCACACACACACCTTTGTGGCAGTCCCTGGAGCATCAGGCTGCCTGTATGAGGAGCATCACTGAGGTTAACCAAAAAGCACAGCTCCCAATATTAGCAGGTATGAGTAAATACAAATAAGGAGTTGAGCAAGTCTGCAAGTTTCTGATCTGCAGCACAACCCTGTGGGTTTAAGGCATGGGATTTCAGTTCACGTCTGTCTTTATTAGAAAGCAGACCCAAGGGTGTGCCTTCTCTCTCCTTTTGTTTTTAAAAGTTTGCAGTTTCAGGAGAGCAAACTGTTGAATTTTGTTCTGGCTGGTGCAATAGTCAGCCAAAGTCTGCTCTAGGTTGTTTGGGGAGGGAGGGAGGAGGGTTTGTCAGGGAGGAGCTGGAAACAGATGTTTTGGACTCTTGCAAGCAGTCTTTATTGATTTTGTTCCTTTCTCAGTCACTTCCTGCAGAGGCAGCACGGAACGGTCTCCTCAGGACACTGACCCAGATGTGCCCTCCTCCATATCTGCAGTGACCACCGAGACTGGGAGTGATGAAGTGTTTATCATTTCTGCTGGACCTGGGGCCAGTGGGCTGAGCTTTACCACCTACAGAATACAGGTAGAAACGCTCTCTGGCATCTCCAGCAAGCCACAGGATGTCTCTCTTGGACAGTACCTGTCATATCTGTCCATTTATGCCTCCTACCCCCTTTCCAAGAAAGGAGGTGACTGAGCCAGGCAGTTCTCCTAACCCTCAAACTGAGCTACTATCAAATGATGTGGGCTTTGATCCTCTGAGCCAGTGTCTTCCCAGCTTTGGGAAGAGCAAGTGCAGAAGTCAACCTTGGAGCTGATAGCCAATAATGCAGACATCTGGCAGTAGGACCAGCCCTCAGAAATAGGTTAATTGCCAAGGATGATGTTCCATTAAAAATATCACCTGTAGCAACTGAAAGATCTGGAAGTCAGACCCGCTCCTGCCCACCATTCCCAAGTGACCAGGAAAGTTACTCAGCTCCTCAGCTCGGCAGAAAGTTAACTGTCTCACCAAACTGATGTGAAAATTTACAGTGTAGGCTCCAAAAATCAGGCACTTTGAGTGAAAGCATTGGAGCCCTTTCCAATTCACAGACAGAAACCCGAATCAGTTCAGCAAGTTCTCTCTTATTTTAGCTCTGTATCCTGCATTCCTGGTGCTTTATTTGTTTAGGAACAGAAGACTGCGCCGAAGCCTCAGGTCTGACTGTCACCTCTTCAACCTTGAGTGAGTGCCTGACAGAGCACATCCATTACTAGTGTGTGCTAAAGCCTTTCCCAGGTCAATACTTTCTTCTCCAGTGCCCTCTCTTCTTCCCACAAGAGGATAAACAACCAGCACAAGGAACTCACATGCCCAGGACAGTCTGTGTAATACTTCTGTCACAGTTTACAAAACAAAAGCATTCTGTATCCCTGCACTTGATTAGGAAATTAGCCAGGAGGCCAGGATTTTCCTACACTAGTGTAGGACACGTGCTGAGCCTTTCCTCCAGCTGGCCACACTGATTAACAGAAAGAGGGAAAGAAGGCAAAAACAACTCTGGTGCCTTCCCTTGCCTAAATGTTACCTTCTGTGGGGCAAGGCACTGTGAGCTGTACCCACACTGGGCACCCTTGAACACCTGCACTCCTTGGTCCTTCTTTCCAGTGTAGAGAGCTTCACCTGGTGGCAGCCACACACATACATACAGCTTCCAGGCAGGAGGGAAACTCCTGCTCCTACCTCTTTTCCCTACTCTAGGCAGAAGAAACAAATAAATAGCCCCCTCCCCCGTTTCTATTCTGCCATCACTTCTGCAAGCAATCTTCAGAGGGGACTAATGTACAAAAAGTAAGAGCTGGTGTGAAAAGAGCTCTAAGTGAAGGTAACCCAAAGAATTAAAACAATTTGCCACATTATTAACTCAGGAGGACACTCTTGGTGATGTCCATGGTCCCAGCCAAATCCATCAAGGAGTAGAAAACCAGCCCTGGAATGGCAACACAGACTCTTTAAAAGCTCTGGGTCTTTCCCCACAGAGAAGACTATCCTCTCCAGGGGGGTGAAAATTGAGCACAGCAGGCTAATTACAACCCTACACTCAAATGGGATCCTGTCAGGCCACTCAATCCTCAGAGCTCCTGGGTGTCAAACATGTCTGCAGTGTAATTTTTAAATGTGTATTTTTGGGGTGTAAGATGCAGCTGCCCATGTAGCCTCCCAGCCCTGCAGAGGGGATGGTGCATAGCTTTTGTGGCCCAGCACTAGGCGAGTGGGCTGAGTTATCTGCTGGAGTTTAGCCAATTTCTTGGCAGGAGCTAAGCAGTTATCCTCATGTGAAAAGATGTGTGAAATCCTGAGCCTTTATGGTACAGTAAATAATGCCAGCAGACTCACCTCACCCAAAATGCTTGACTAGACAAAGCAAGCTATAAGGAGCTTTCATTAAAAAAATTATCCCAATCTTTTCGGTGAGAAATGGTGTCTGGCTGCTTGGTCCTGAGCCACCCAGCAAGTGTGAGCCTCAGCTCTGCTGGGCTGGAGCCAGAGATAAACTGGCTTTGCTTTTCAGCTTTTAAAACCCATTTGAAGACACCAGTCCCCTGTTAGGAGCTGGGAGAGCAAACACACGTCTCTGTATGTGACTAGCCTGAGGAAACAGGGCTGCATGGCTTTTGGATGGCTCCTGGGTGTCCTCCAGGAGAGTCATGGCTTTCTGAGCCCTGTTTGGTTCAAGGCATCATTCAGCCTTTGGCCAACTTATAGCTATAATCTCTGACTTCTGATCAGGCACTGCAAGTTTCAGCTGCAAAGGTTTGAGTAAAGAGTGTGCTCATGGAGGTTTAAGAAACATTTTTGCCAAAACGTTTTTAAAAGTGTAGAAAATACATTATTCATCTTCACAGTTACTTCCAGTATATTTATCTCAAAACCTGTGCTTAATTTTTCCATCATTTTGGAGCTATTTGTAATAATATTAGAATAATAAATCCTGAAACAGCCTGAAGAGACTGCTGAGGAGAAGACAGCTGGCTTATAAATTTATAAATAAAGACTGTTACTTTAATCAACTGTGAGACTAGGAGCTTAATTTTGAAACAAACTTACCCAGAGCCTGATGCCTCTCCCGGCTTCCCACTGAGATTTTTCTTCTGCTGTAGTAGCTAATTTCTTGCCTCTCTGCCCATGCATTTCCAATATGACATTTTCACTAAATAGTTCCTTTGATTTGCAGAAACTTGAGAGATTCAGTTTCTTGGAAAAAAACAAATGACAAGTTTCTGGTTTATCAGGACTTTTACATTCAGGACACTGTGGGATTTATTTCAGACCCTCTTTGAGGGCTGTGTAAACTTTGGGAATGTGGATTTTGCATTCTTCTCATGACAACCACATTCACACAGCTGAAAATTAAAAATACACAGAGTTGTGGAACAGGACACTTACATAAACAACAGGTGAGTACTAGTGAGAATGGAAGGAGGTTTATAGGGCTGTCAGAGATCCTTTAACTGTTCTGGCTCTAAACCCATATCAATATTAAGGACAAAAGTTGTGATATTAAATGCAACAGAAGCAGAACTTATAAAGTAAGTATGGAAGAGATCTTTGTCTGTAGTTCATTCCCACGTCTGATCAACTCTGCATATACACAGGGCTGGTGACAATGCTTTAATGTGGTCTCACCTTCTGATGATGCCAGTTTTACACCTGTCTGGATGCTTGTTCTACTGTTAAGACATATTTTCCACTGGAAGGGCATTTTTTATGTGAAATGGAAATCTACTTGGCTCTAACCCAGTTCTTGTGCTTCTTGTTCTATTCACCACAGACATCGAGAACAGATTATTCCCTTTCTTTTTATTTGCAATCATTTGTATTTTCTTAATTTTTCCCTTACATAAAACAAAGAGCACCACTTACTTCAGCCTGTTCTCCTGAACTGTGCATTTTTGAGACTTCAGATTCTCTTGCTACTTCAGGATTTCTTTCAGAGGGCCCCATCTTATTTCCCCAGACAGACATGCAAGGAACCTTCCATGAGCCAAGCAGAGTGGAAGAACTAGGCTTTACACAGTGAAGTTTACTACCCTGATCTGTCAGGTATCTCCAGTAAAATTAAGCTGTAGATATTTCATGTATTTGGTTAATGAGAGCGGTAGGAACTTAGGTAACTAAAATTTCCCAATTCAGCGTTAAACCCCAAACTGGGGATGCAAGATAAAACTTTTCCCCAGGGAAGGCAGTGAACTTCAGGCAGCAGGCTGGAGGAGCAATGAGGAGAAGTTGCATTCCTGTGTCCTCTGGGAAAGACTGCATAAATCAGTCTCCTGCACTAACCACATATGAAAGATGCTGTAAACGACCTTTATTTACTCTTTTCAGGACAAAAACCTAAAAAGAAGTGTCACAAGCCCAGCCTCTGTGTCTGACTGGCTGACCTCTAACCCCATGGCTGCAGGAGCAGATGCTGTTGAGAAGGGGAATGTGCAGCTGGAAAATCACTGTCCCAGACAGCGCACATGGAGCGCTCGCACCTTCCACGACTTCCTGGCTCCAATACCACAGCTACAGAAAAGATGGTGCAGCTGGACCACCAACAGCCCCTTCACAAAACTGGTTGACAACAGTGTAAGTCTTGCAGGGAGGGAGGATATGGTGGTTGGGTTCTGTGCCCCAGGTCCCCCCAGCTGCTCTCTGATGGGACACATTTTCCCCTTGGCCACAGGTTTGCTTCTCTGTCCTGCAATGTGATACACATTTCAGCCTGTCCTCCTTGGTGTATGGGAAACTCTTTTGCCTAACTATATGGTAATTTAGTCAGGCTGTCCTGAAATGCTAAGAAGTTGTGTTTTCCAGCAGTTAGCACCTTGCTAAGAAATGATCCCCAGTGCAGAAAAACATTAAAAAAGTGTCTTCAGACAAGATTATCTCATTGAGTGTTCTGACATGTACCTTTTTCCCCTGGTTATTATGCCTTAAATTTATTATAATTGATGTTTTGCTATTGCATTGCAAGGAATCGGTAGGTGTAGGAGGGATATCCAGGTCTTCTTGACGGTAATCACCAAACCAACAGCTTCTTACAAAGCTAACAGAAGATGTTTCTTCCTTTTTAAGGCAATAACATAGGTTTTTGCTCAAGAATACATCTTACCTCTCACAGAACCTGGAATTTTAACTTTCAGTTCCCTTGGGATCAAAGTTTCTCAAGATAGCTGCTTTTCATGGCATGTCTACTAATCTCTTATTATTTTGTGCAGGGGTTTTCTACAGCTTCAAGACCTCAAGGTGTCCCAACCAGAAAGGTAATCTCAGCCACTGAGATAGAGGGAGCATCAGAGACCATTTACTCTGATTCATCTGCCAGTAATGCCTCATACCCCCTCACTCTGTCTGCACAAAGGCAGCGGAAGCTAACCTCCTGCAATTTGAAGAAATCCAGATTTGGGAACCCTTATTTTGGATTTTTAGCCAGTTCCCCTGACAGCAAACATGTGAGGTCCTTGGATCCCTCAAGACATCTAGGGGCAGCATCTCCTGTAAAGAGCCAAAGCCCCAAAAATCTTCTAGAGACCTCCAACCCACTGAAAATCAACTTGGTCAACGGTTCAAAAACAAAGGAGCTTATGGTAGAAACAGATAAAAACAAACCTGTTTTTATTATCTCTGAAGAAGGGGATGATCAGCAGCCTCTGGTACTAGCAGAACATCTTAGTCAATTTGGAGATCATCTGTCCGAGCAAAATGCTGTGTACACTCCGGCCGTGCCAGAGAAACAGCCAGTGGTTCTGACTGTTGAGGGGAGCAGTTCTACCACCTTCACATCGAGTCTTCCCCTTTGGGCAAAATCCCCTCCTTTGTACAAAGGTCACGTGAAGGCCCCCAGCTCTAACAGGGACCTGCAGAGCTCGGCAGGTGTAGATGCCAATACTACTGAGACCTCAAAGAACTGTGACACCCCAGCTGCTCCTACACTATGCCAAGCTTCAGTCCAGTGATTCCCTCAGAATGATTGAAACATCAGCTCACAAAACCAGAGGGACATGACCAGAGTGGAAGCTGTGCCAGGTAGTTGAGTGTGGCAGTCATAGATGGATGCAGCTTTGTTAAGAGCAGTCTCTGCTTCCCACATGTTGGGACTGAGATTAGAGGGATCAATACCATAGCACAGCACAAATGCCATCTTCCCTTTTGCTTGCTAACCTCATCTTTATTCTGCATGAAATTTTGATGTGCTTTGTGCAAGAAAGCATCCTCTGAAAAGGTACTTCAGACTGCAGAAACCCTTTTCTGGAATAGGAATTCCAGTCATTCTAGTCATCTGAGACACTTACACCGTGGTTTGTATCCGAAATGTAGATCAGTCCTGTGTCCCTGTGGTATCACTTGAGTCTTTCTGTTGGGAGCTCTGAGTTAACTTCTGTTTATAGCTATGCCTGTACAATCCAAGCCTTGCCAAGCCAAGGGGAAGAATCCAATCATGCATGTTTGCATAGTTTTGTAAACTTAATTTTAAGCATTTCATAACTTCTGCACTCTAGCACAAAGCTTACCAAGCATTAGCATCTCTAATATCAAAGACCATGATTATCTCATATCCTAACCCTTTAGAGAAGTGTACAGACAAGCTGAGCAACCCAATACCAGATGCTAGTTCTAAAAATGTCTGACGTAGCTTTATCTTTGTTAGATCTACATAGGCTTAGAACACCTCGGTCCACTACATTAAGTGACTCCTCATGGCAACAGGAACATGTGTACAAAAACACTGAAATACTAGAAATAGTCTTCAGCATCCAACACTTGGATATTTGCAGCTGCTCTCATCCTAGATCCACCAGCTATTTATTGCTGGGAACGCACACTGACTACAGAACTCTGTCCCTTCCTTTAGCAGGCAAGACTTAAAAGACAAAGTTAAGTGAGGCAAACTTTGAGTGTTCACTGTCCTTAGAAATTAACTACCAAGTGGCTGTGCCTCCCTGAGTACCAATCCAGGGCATTCAATGGAACACTGAACCAAAGGGAAGCCTGCTAGTCCTATTGCCTTTAATAACCCCATCAGTATTTCAACAGCCTCCGGGTGATATTTTCCTATCTTTGCAAGAGACTCCAGCCCACAATTTAGAATTGTTTTGCTTTCTTAAATGAAAGGAGCTGCAGCTGAAGCTGGATTTTGCAGCTGACACAGCACATTGTTTTAAAGCAATAGCACATCATAAAACAGATGTCAGAAAGAAATCTGCACAAGTCTTCCCCTCCCTTAGCTACAGTGTGCATCCAGTTATTTTAATCCTTCTGTGTGAAGGCATTTAAGACTGATTCCTGGAATATTTAATTGAATTATTTATGATTTCACCTGCTATTTCAGCTTCCATTTGCCACCTATTATGTCTGAGATATGCAACGCAAGACTGAAGGGTTTGCCTTATATTTTGTATGTGTTTACATGTCTACGTGGACATAGAAGCCTTGCAGCTGGTAGCAGTGGAAGCAAAAACATATATGCCCTTTAGTAGTTGACTCAAACATGATCAGCAAACAAGTCTCTGCATTTATTATTACCAGACTGTGTTGAATAGTTTTGAAGTGCAAAAGTCTGGCTCCAAATGGCTTGTTTCTTCTTTTTTTTTTTGTTGTTGGGTATTTTTTGTTGTTTTAAATTAATGCTACTTGATTCAAAGGGAAGAGTTAATATATTTATGATTTAAGAAAATATTTAGAAGCCTTCAGTACTCTAACAATAACTCCCACTGCATTAAATTCACATCCATTGTAATTCTGAGTCAATGTTCCGTTACTTATTACATTTCTAAAGATTGAAGCACTAAAATCTACTTTCGAGAAGCACTTGTGTTCAGTTCTTGCCAATAGTTACATTCAAAGGGCTGGAAAAAGTGGCTTTTTCAATAAAAGCATGTTTAACTATTAATTTCTACAGTGTAACAACACTTTTTTGTTTATTTTGCTGAGAGACCAAGTTGTACATGCAGTGCCTAAGAGCACCAGTACCTCGGGTGGGTACAGCAGGACAGCAGCCTCCCTAGCTGCAATGGAAAGAGCAGAAAAGCAAACACTCAGGGATTACATCCTTTTCAATCCTCAGTATTTGAGGCAGATTTAAGATGAGGTGGTGTTTACACTGACCTCCTTTATGACCTGTTGTGCAACCAAAGAACAGATCTTTCCAACCAGGTGAAGATAGGTGCTAGAGGTGGTTTCCGTGGGAGTCTCCATTTCCTTTCACACACTGCTCACCTGAACACTGTGTGCCTCTCCCATCACTGCCTGCAGTGGCAGCACATTGCCAAGGGACCACGAGACTGCAGAGTCTGGACTGTACACACACCTAGTGAGACTGACCCTCCTCCTGAAAAATGAGCAACATTCAGTGATGCTGCTCATTCCCAGAGCAGACGTGGCTGATTTACCACCTATTCAAAGGTGATGCCTTCTGGCACTAGCGATGCTGAGCCCAATGCCTGCAGGTGTGTGCTGCAGGTAGACAGAGACAATCCCTCAGCAGGTCAGCTCTGAGGAGCCCCGAGGGGCTTTAGCTCCTGACTTGCCTTTTGAAGGTGTTTTTGTTGGTTTTTTTTTTTTTTCGTTTTTTTTTAAAGCAGATCACTAAAATTAACTAAAATGCTTCATTTTGTACCTTCAAAGAGTGTACAAAATATTTTCTTCCTCTTACAGCTCCTCCTTTTTTTTTTTTTTTTTTGCCCCCAGGAACACGAACAGCTTCCACCCAAACTCTTCAAAAAAAGCCATAGCACAAATTTAAGACATTCTGAAAGCTCTGGGTGGAATAAAGCACTCTAATACTCTCAGCTGTAAATATTGACTAGGATTAGTTTTTTAATAGTATTACTTATGGCATTTATTTTGTTCCTAACAGCTATTATTACTTGGGAGAGCTGTGCTGCCACTTTTAAAGACAGAAAACCTCACAGCTCATGTATGGGCTCGGGTTCAGTTTTACCTTCGTGGCAGTGCAGTTGGTTTGCTGGGAGATTCTGCACACTGTAACCAAGCAGCAAATGGGATAAGCATGCTAAACACGCACTGAAGAGGAGGGAAATCATTTCAATCACAATTGCATGGGGGAAAAAATGTCAAAAAAAATGTTATGGAGCTAACAAACAGAAGAATTCTTTTCAGCAAAACTGAACTTGAATAATGTTCACCTCTTAAAATTGATTATTCTGGAATAAGCTAGGCAATCCCTCTAGCCCCTGTGCTAGGTAGGTCAAATAGGACAAAAATAGGTGGGCATTCCCTGTTTTTCATAGTTCAAACAGAGCTGCAAAATAAAAGCTTGGAGCTGCACAAGCTGACAAGAATCCTGTGTGCCAGGCTCCTTACTGTCAGGTACTTAAAATGGTTGGGAATGGAGGTTCAAAGGGAAAACAATCCAAAAGATTTACCATGCAGGTAAAACATCCCAGCTTGGAGGGTTCAGAGTAGAGTTCAGCAAGAACAATCTACTTAAAACTTATGGGCAAAACATGAACTGTTTACTTTCAGAAATCTAACTTTCCTTTGAGAGCAGTTGGTTGCCAGACTTTCTATCATAGAATCATAGAATTCAGGGGTTGGAATGGACCTTATAGATCATCCAGTCCCAACTCCCTGCCCTGGGCAGGGACATCTCCTCACTAGATCAGGTTCCTCAAGGCCTTATCCAGCCTGGCCTTGGACACTGCCAGGGCTGGGGCAGCCACCACGTCCCTGGGCAACTGTGCCAGTGTCTCACCATCCTTAGAGTAAAAAAATTTTTTTCACATCCAACCTAGCTTTCCCTCCTTCAGTTTGAACCCATTGCCCCTTGTCTTATCATTGCAGTTCCTAACAGTCCCTCTCCAGCTCCTTGCAGGCCCTTCAGATATCGAAAAGTTGCTGACCACAACCCTCTGCGTGTGACCATCCAGCCACTTCTTTATCCACCGAGTGGTCCACCCATCAAATCCATGTCTCTCCAATATAGAGACAAGGATGTCATGTGGGACAGTGTCAAATGCCTCACGTAAATCCAGGTAGATGACATCAGTTGCTCTGCCCCTATCTACAAATTCTGTAGTCCCATCATAGAAGGTCACCAGATTTGCCAGGTATGACTTGCCCCTGGTAAAGCCACGTTGGCTGTTACACATCACCTCTTTGCTTTCTATGTGCCTAAGCATAGCTTCAAAACTGTTTTGTTTTTTTTCTCATTAGGGCAGAACATGAACCCCAACAAAACACATTTGACTCAGATAGTCCAGTCAGTAGATTCTATTCTAAACAATTAAAGATCAATTTGGATTGCAAGAAAAAAAAGGTAAGTACTAACCCAACACTTACCTAATGAAAGCAAGTGAAACTCAGCAACACTGAGAAGAATACCCAGCAGAGACCAAATATAGCTTCAACATATATTCATGGTCTGTCTAGAAATGTCTTTGATGTTAAACCTCATATGGCACACTTAGCATTTTTTATAATTCATTTCCTATGGAAACTAATGAGCTTAAGGGTGAAATTACCTCATTGAAAGTCAAAATGGAAGTGTGAAGAAAAGAAGGATGACCTGGAAATCAGATTTAGAAGCAATCTTTGCATATTAAGCATTGCTGTGGGAAATAGTATAATTAGTTTGCTTCAGAAGTGATTCCTTGGAATTGTGTAAGTGGTATTTCAGCTCCCAAACATCATGCAGAAAGAATGTTCTATAAAATAGGTGGAAAAAAATGCAAAATCTCCCCACGTTCTTAACATCAAGAGATCCTTCTCCTAACTTCCAGTGACTGTTGATTTATTTTAAGAGGGCAGACTGTACAAAATAAAGCCCTTTCCAGCAGAGAGTTCCAAGGGCCACAGGAAACCAGATTTTCAGAGCATAATTTAGAATCAAGCATTCTCTTCCCAAATGCCTAACTCCTTTCACTTGAAACAACTTCTTTCCCTCAGCTCTTGCTGCAGGCTAAGCCATCTGTCCCACACAGTTCTACTGAAGACTAGAAATGGATACAAAATGGATGTATTTTGTTTGCTGACCGAATAAGCTAATGAGTAACCTTGGAGTGTCAAATACCAAGATTTTCCTTTTACATTCACAGAAAACAGTATCAGAGCTGAAGCAGAAATGATCCTATACAGTTGCTGATTCAAATGCATGAGCCACCCCAAGGGCTGTGGGATTAACACTGGCTGTGAGATCAGCCTGTTGTCAGCTAGCCCAGCTGCCAAAGGTCACACCTCTATTCCTCTCACAGTCATGCCACCATCTTTCTTACTCTGTATGGAGGAAGTGCTTGGAAGAGCTTATGCTGTGCCAGAACTGATCACCTGACAGTGCATCAATCCAAAATCAGCAGCTTCCTGAAACTAAATTAGTTGTGAGTCATTTGTTGACATAATGGAGCATAAAACATTCAAATCCACCAATCCAAGTGCTGGCCAAGCCAGAACTACCAGCTTTAAGGTCTATCAGCTTGTGTTTATGGTCACACAACACCACAGTGTTTTCATTTTTACATTACTTAACCTGAGTTTGACTTCTACTTCCAGTTAGTCTGAAGAACAAATGACAGCTGGTTTAAGAACAGTAACATGAATTAGCCACAGCATCAAAGGGTATCCACCTTCAAGTATGGGAATTGCAGCAGCACAAAAATCCTGGGAAGATAAATTGGAATCTGAAGCTTAACAACTCTGGCATCTTCCACCTCAGACAGAGCAGGGCACAGACAAGTCCTCCTATTTACTCAGCAAGGGAAAAGTTCTATTCAGAAAAGTTCTACTAACAGTAGAACTGTTGCAACCTTCTCATTGATACAATTAGATAGATGTAAAGAGGAACATAATGTGACAGCCACTTCCTCGACCCTGCTGTTACATCACTGGTGATACCAATGCTTGTCACTTCCGTGTTTATGGCATTGCAAGAAAATAGTACCGCTTTTTTTAAAAGTCGCAAACTTCTTTATTTGTTAGCATCTTGAAGCCATGTCAATTCTATCTCATAGTCTTAGATCATTCATCATCAATCCTGTAGAGATACTGATGATTCTTTGCAATATCATATGACACTTTTAAGGAAGTTCGAGAGAATTTCTTGGAAAAAACTCATGCCATATTCAGTTACTACAAGTTTAGGGATTATATTTACTTGTAAAATCTCAACATTCAAGTAACTAATAGCTTGACCAAGCATTAGCAAGTGTTGCACACATCCATTCCTGTGGTGACAGGACATAACAGAGATGAAACAGAAATAGACAACTTCAGTATCTTTTTTTTTTTTTTAATTAATAACTTCTTAGTTCAGGAAAAAATAAATCACAAAAGAGAACTGGAAGAACTACTCTCCACCTTCTTTATAAAAGAACTTTCTCAAAGAGAGAGACTATATACCTTGTCCACCACTATATCAAATCCTACCATAATCACCTTGGTTTCCACGTCTATTCTACCACGTCACGCTCAGCTTCCAAACATCTCTTATAAAGGAGGTGGGGGTGTGCTTTAAACAGGTTAAAAATATGCTGCACCTTTACAGTCTTTAAACAATTACACCAAGCATAGTTCATACATTTATCACATTGACTATCACCTGGTAACCATACATTTAAAAATGTCTAATGTATAGAGTATGTAATACCCATGACAGATACTCTTACTTACTTAAGAGCATATAAAGATCAGGATTTATTCACCCTCCCCATCTGGCAAGTTAATTTCTGATCTCTTCCTGGTACAATATAAATGACAACAAAATCCCTTCATTCCATTGCACTACCACAACCCTATATGCATAGAAAGGCAGATTAGTTATCTGTGACAGGGAAAAGGAAGAGGGGCTTATAAAAGGAATTCGAAGAATGTCTACTGCACAGGTAGTTTAGATGTTAAGCACATGAGTTCTGTTGCTTGGGTTTTCCCCCCCAATTTTTTTCCTTACAGTCACACAATACAGCTCCATACAAACTCAACTCAAGTAAGTGCAAGGGAGGTTGTACATAGTACTGTAGACACATTACTCTTGACCAACACAAAAATGTTCAGCACAAGAAGCTTGAACACTAGTACAGTGACAAGTCTATGCTGAAGAAAGCCCATCTGGAGTGTGGGAGTGGTGAATGAGAATGCAAAGCACATTGCTGCATATAATGTGCAAAGGCATGATCTCCACAACTGCACTCATTTTGCTACGTGCACAGCCAGATGATGAAAATGAGATCAAAACCAGCTGGGAATGGTTGTCCTGAGAAGATACAATAACCATTAAAAAAATCTACACATAAAATACAAATACAGGAGCAACAGAACATTGTTAATAATACTAAAAGACAGAAACACACTGTAGTTGTTAGAAGAAGTTTCAAGTAATATTCCAGATCCAATTTCAATCCTACTCACAGGAGAAAATGCCCAGAGATTAGGAAGAGAAGTCCACACCAAAGTGTATTTTAATAGTATACAGGCATGGTCAACAGACCCATCCTTGCAACAGCCACTTGGAAAAATAAGAGTCTAACCAGAAAGCATCATTCTAATGAGCATTTGTGTTCAGATGTGCATCACTGGAAAGAGTTGCTTCATTCACTGCAACCAGTAGACACAATGTGCTGCATCATTTGTGCTCCATTACATCCCAAGATACTGTGTGTACACTTTTTATCAGCAAAGTATAAATCCTGCTCGTAAAATAAGGCATACTTAAAAACAACATGGTATCTACAGAGGTAACTTTGAGTGCTTTCTTCTCATTCTGCTTCACTCTTCTAGGTATGATGAAAAATTGGTCCCAGTTGAGGTTTGCCAACATTAGCCACCAGCTTATGATGGAACAGAGGAGATCACATTGATTCAGGGGAAGGGGAATGTAGGGATTTATTTTTTTAATGACACTTGGGACATGTCCTGAACGAGCTCTGCAGAAGGCATGAAAATAAACCCTACATTTATTACATCAGTGACACCAGTGTTCCCCTTCATCATCCCTATCTACCCCTATCCAGAAATGCCTCTATATTGCTACAATTTGTCCAGACAGACTTATTTTCTGTAAGATTGTTCCTTCCAGTAAAGCTGCTATATTCTGTTTTAAATTCTAGCTTTTTCTACATTTTCACCAGTGTATGCATGCTGGAGAGCGGCTGCATTGCAGAGGTACATGTTTAGCACATGGTATCAAACCAAAAAGGAAATACAAAAAACTGAACCAGTGTGTCCTACTGGCTGCCCTAGGTCAAAAGCACTGTTTGGTCTTCTGATATAAAACACTACAGAAGTAATAGTAGCAGAAGTCTGTTCTGCTTCAAGTATTACCCCAACTTTAAATGTGATTTTCAAATTTTTGTGCAATCATTTTTGTAATTTCATGTGAATAAAAACATCAACATGTCTAAACTAAGAAAAGAAACTGTACTACTTCCACTCTAACACTGCACATACGGAAGAAGCTTTAAGTTGAAACAGCTGTTTAATGGATGGATATTTGAAGGTGAATATTCTCGTGGGTTTTAGCCCAAACGCAGTGGGCAGTGAGGAAGTATGAGAGGCCTGCAAAATGCAGTTAGAAATAGACACTGACAGTTTCCTTCTTAAATATTAATGGCTCTTGAAATACCCATCAGACACTTTTACAAAACATTTCTATTTTAAGTCTAACGATTTCTCTTAGTTTCTTCACAAGTAGTGCAAATACACTCCTTATTCTTAGGTCATCCCAAGATATGGCTGGTTCATGTGTGTGTGATTCGTGTTCTTCACCCACGTGGCACAGGGACACTGTAGTCATGGATGGAATGCAATGCTCACTGGACTATCTCAGAAAACAAAACTCTACCTTATCCATGTACAGCTGTAAAACTCTACAAATTAAAATTTTCACACCAGATAACCTGATGCAAAAGTTATTGATTCCCTGCTAAGGGGAACTGAGATGGTCCCCTGAAACCTCAAGCTGTACAAGCAGTGTAACAGGTCTCTGTCCCCTCCCTTCAGACTACAGGTACTCAGTTCTTGAATCGTGTTTGCTCACAAATGTGATTGAATTTCCTGAAATAAAAAACCAGAAAGCATTAGAATATAACAAAGTTCTCAGAAGTCAGGCAACAAGAGCAAATCAGCATCTTTCACAGGGTGATTTACATGTTAAACAGTTTAAAGCAGAACATTTATACACACTAAGATGTCTGTTTTTCAGAACCTGTGCAGATCATGCTCTACTACCATGTTATGTAGAACAGGATTTTCAACACCTCTCCTGCCTAACCCTTGCTGGTTTTATTATGCACAGAGAAAACCTGTTATTAAAAGTATTGCCCTATACTTCTGCATACTTCAAACCCAGAAGGCAATTACAACAGCGATTGGTGAATTAATTTTCCCCTGCAAGGTATGAGCAAATTTTAGTAGACAACATTGCACCAGTCACTAAGAACTAGAACTAAGCAGCCTAATGACACATTTCAACATAAACATGTTCTTTCAATGGCTTAAAATCTTCTGGAAAGGAAAAGTTTTTCTCAGCCTGTATTATATAAGCTTTTAAGGAATGTCAAGCCTGTCTTCATGGATTAAACAGGCAACACAATTTTGTACAAGGCACTTCTTCCCAATTCTCAAAAACATCTCACTGTTCATCCTTTGTTTTCCTCTTACTTGGGTTATGTGTCCCCTGACACACAACTGAAACACAAGTTGGGGTGTGGAGTGTGTGCACACATGGGAAGGAAATGATGCAAAGGAGACCATAAATGTTCCCCCTCTTGCTGAATTAGATTAAAGATTAGAAAAACCTTGCTTACATAACCAAACTACTTAGCAAAGCAGTTTAGCTCAATTTAAAAAGCCTTAACTGGATATTTAGGAGTGGCATGACAGGATTGTTTGCTTTTATGGATTTTAGGAACTAAGAGCAGTAGCCAGGAAAGCTCTAGGAACAACTAGTGCTTGAAAGCAAAAGAAAAGAGGAGAAGGAAAAAAAAAAAGGACCTGAGTAATTTCTATTCTAGATGGAATTATCCACCACAACATGAACAAAGATGACTGGTGAGTACTTTGATACCGAATTAACTCTCACATTTCAAAACAAAATCTCCTCTGGGAACACAGACAGTGCTGTAATGTGAAATTACAGATAACAGTGGTACTTTAAGTTACATCTGCAACTTAAATCCAAATTTATTTCTGAAAGCTATTCGGTAAAACCCTCTGAATTTGTAAGAGACTGCAGATGAATATTTTACAAGTCTGTCTTATGATCTGAGCTGTACAGACTGGTTATTTTCAACCCACAGTACCTGAAATATTAAAGGAATTATGCTAAGTGTGTATGTACATTGCAACATTAGAAAGATACTGCAGAATCTACTATTCATGAAGGCAGTTTTGCAATAAGGGGTAACAGCTCCTCTATCTTAAATTACACTGAGAATTTAGAGAATTATTCATAAAGCAAGAAGGATTTTGCTACCCTCCCTGGAACCAGTTAGATCTTAGGTAGAAAATTTTTGGTTTGTTTTACTAATCTTTAATATTTGTCTTACCCCACGTGCATCTTGTCTTAAGAATAAAATTGCAAAGGTCATCAGTGGCCTTGATATTTTTTAATCAACAAGCTGAATGTATATTGGATTGACTTTTCTCACAAATGACACCAAGAGTCCAAGTCTTCTGGAGGTATTAAAACCCTTGAGAAGTAGAGGGTTGATCTCTTTTCAGGTTCAGTATTTCATTTTCAACACATGCCAGATTCCTTGGGTCAGACAGGTAAATCTAGAAACTCCTCCAAACCCAGGAACTGCTTAGGAACCTGCTGTGGCTTATGTTACATGTTCCAACCTTCTCTTGCTTCTCTTGTTGCTAATTATTCCCACGAACTTACCCTTCAATGCAAGTTGCACTTCACTAAAACAGTCTCTCCTTCCACTCCAGTGGGTGGAAAAACAGACACAAGAAGTGACAGCAATGGGCTACACCCACAAGTACTGGCCATGCCCTTCTGACATGCATGAAGGGCTCATGCCAAAGTGCTGTTAGCACTAAAATGACAAAAAAAAATCCCTAAAGCTCACCCAGTTCTGCTTTATGCTGCAGAAGTGTTACTCATGCCATTCCTGGCACTTCAGAGGTTGCTTTTTGTTCAGTTGGTTTTGAGTTTTGCTTTGTTTTGAAGAAACACAAACCTAAACACTTTTTACATTGCCTGACTTACATGGCATGATGTGCTTTGACCTGAGTTCGACAGTTGCGCCCCCAGTAGCAATCAGGACGAGACGTGACAGTCACTGCAAGAGGAGCAAATGAAATACTACATTTATTACAGAAGTTAAGTAAGGTGATGTAATTATCAAACCACAGCTAATGGTGGTTACTCATCAGAGCAGGCTTTGTAGAGAAACAAGACAGGATTGGCAAGAACTGACTAAAATGTATTGGTTCACCTTTCTAGAAATAAAGCAAATACTCTGTGAACGACACAAAATTCATTTTGAGTATTAGGCTCATGCAGACTGTGGTGAAAGGATTTGGCTCTCAGTGCTCTCAACTGATGTTTTACCATTCAGTTTACGAGAGACAGACTTGACAGTGTCAGACACTGGCCACATCTCTAGATACAGTTCCATACAGAACAAAAACTATTAATTTGGGTAGAGGTTGTTGCTCTGCCCCTTTCACACACACTATAACTCAACTGTCCAGCAGCCTGTGACACTGAACTGAAAAGCAATACTAAGGACAAACCAGGTAGGATGATTGTGACTCATTATACACAGCAGCAGAAGCAGAGCTCTAAACAACTGAGGACAGGGAAGCTGTTGCTGACAACAGGAACTAGATGGACCAGAGGAACATTTAAAAGCAGACTGTTGGAATAGCTTCTGTTCCAAACAGATTTAGGTCTGAAGGAGGCACAGTTGCTTGCATGCTATTTTATACTAAAGCTGCAAAGGCAAACAGATTTAGAACTAATTTATGAGAGCATTCTTGTTCCCAGTTGAGAGTTGGTAAAATGTGGTGTTGTTCAGGAGATGCATCGTTCTATGTACTTAAATGGGAAAATAAATTGCATTACAGTAACTGGTTCCTGTTGACTGTGTTGTTGATTTTACTGAATTCCCCGTGTCACTCTGCAGATATGCTCATCCTACAGAGCAGAAATCATACTGAAAGAAAAGGTTGCATTAGGGAGTCTGCTGAAAACTACACACAAGCTCAGCAGCTGACAAGTACAGCAATCAGCCCAAGGTATTACCCTGCAAGATGTGCACTGGGCTGCATTAAAGTGCCAAAAGAACAGGATACAAAGGTAAAACTGACATTAACTTCTTGAGTTACTTTCCTCTCCTTAACTGTGCAAAACAATTCCCACCTGGCAATTCAGCAACAGGAATATTCTGCCTGTACTGGTAGGCAAGCTCTCGGAAGCTGCGAAGGCCACAACAGTAGCAAAGCACTGTGTTCCCAGTAATTCTGTAATCTGGGGAGAAGACCAATTTGACAAGATGTCAGTGCAAGGCTTAAGAAACCAGATTTGGCAGAAGAGTCAGGACAGCACTTGTTATGTACACACAACTTCAAACCTCTTGATAATAGTACTGAGTTATGTATAGACAAGGAGTTATACATGTACAAACTGAGCATAACATACCTGACAACATAAAAACTCCTCTTTGAAGAGCTAAGAGACTTTCATTTAACATATTTTTCCATGTCAGACCCCTGGATGCCAGGTAATCCTGAAAAGAGCAATTTAGGTGTTTAATCTAGAAAAATCTCCAACCTTAAAAGAGTTACCAAGATATTTATTCTAAGTATTTCCAAATCTAGGTCTAAGTAGGTTTTCAAAATGGGTTGATATTGATTACAAATAAAAATTAAGTACCTTTAACTTAATTGGCATACTTTCAGATCACCAATAAGCCCTTCCACTATCTATCTTCTTTTCAGAAGATCCTCACTTTTGCCAAAAGTCTGCAATAGATTCCTGTCAGTCACACTCTCACTCACCTCACATCAAGATTTTATCCAGTTGACCTAATTTAGGTAACTGTTATGGTATGAGGAAAATCTTTTCCATGCAATTTAGCATGAAATTTAACTTGTTTGGGACAAAACATCTAATAGGCCTTGCCTTCCTGGCATATTTTTAGTGAATTATTTTTCCCTAAACTTCGAATTGTTTGGGGCTTGTTAAACTTGCAGTTTAGACTCAGGTTCTGCAGGTGACACAATGCTGCCACTGCCACTGTCAGGCAGCACATTACTTCCATTTCACCAGTGAGTACATCTGAAACTCTGCACATTGTTGCTATCACACATAATGATTTTTACACATACCTTTAGGATATCTGACTCGTAGTGGTTGTTATTTAGGACTCCATCTAAACACTTGTCACCGAGATTTATTTCTAGTCAGAACAAGAAGAAGAGAAGTTACTATTTCTTCTCCCAACCCTGTGGCCCTCACACATTTTCTGAAGGTTCTTCTGTTTCCTGAAATAATGTGCACAGGCTCATGTGAGCACCAAAAACATGACTGCATTCGACATGTGCTACAGCATGTGATTGTAACTTCCAGGGCAAAGACAAGACACTGAGAGTCTACAATTGCACTTTTAGCCCACAAACACTACCACTAAGCTGCATAAGTTAACAGTGCTACTAAAGCACCTTCCATTCCCTTCAAACTGCAGCCAAACCACCCCAGCTGTTCTAATTTAGCTTTTAAAAATGTCTAAAACCTTGAGCCTCAGAAATCTGCCTGTTAAGGAGGGGAAGGTTCTTTTCTAATCCGTTAGCATCAGATGTTCAATGCTCCTGCACTTCTCTTCCTAGGCCGAAACAATCCATGATATTTTATATGGGAAAGCACTGAGCTCAACAAGTGCAGTTTCCAAGCCCAATATGGCATGAAGACACGAAGCTAAATCCTCTCAAAGTTAAGGCACACACCTCTGGAATTTTTTGTGTTTGTCATGGGAGGACACAGCCTTTGTTTCTTTTTGTGTAACAGTGCTACAAACTAACTTGTATATCTTAAATGACCTGAAGTTCAAGACAGACAGACATTCTTGCAAAGTTAGCAGGCTCATAAGAAACAGGTTACTCCACAATACCACAGAATGGTGCCAGACAGCCAAAACATGCCATCCGAGTGCAGCCCCAGTACAAGTGGCAGAAGGGTTGCAGACAAACTGTACCTGTAAAATAACAACCTGTAAGGACCTGCACACAACAAAATTTAACCATTATTGTTCTTATAAATCAATAGTAACAGAGCCCTGATAAACTTGCTTAAAAAAAGTACAGCTTCCTCACTTGAAATTCATTCTATAGAGGAATAATAAATTCTATGAAGGAAGATTCTTTCCTGCTGTCACTACAAGAACTCACATAAAGAATATTCGTATAAAAAACAGTCTTCAAAGTAAATTTAAGTTTTATAAAAAAATAAGGAGAGAGTTCTGCAGACAAGATTTAAAAAAAAAAAAGGGAAGTACACACATTGCTGAGGAGCAACATGAGGATTCTGTTCACGCTCTGCTCTTCGGTCAGGCATTGGCTGAAAGCAGCAGGTGCATATTACATGACTTCCTTGAGCAGGACACACATATTCCTGGACAGCTAGATGAGTTAAAAGAGGGGGAAAAAAGACAGATTGAACAATGTACACAACTGAAATCTGGACTAGGAATCTTAGTGAATATTAACAACACAAAATTCTCAAAGTAACAAACAAGAAACCTTTTCATAAAGATTTTATAAAACAGCAGAAAAACAGCATTCAGATGTCTACACTGCATAGGTGTGTCAAATATTCCAATATGTAGAACAGTTTAAGAACTATCAGCCATGAGCAACCCATTTTGGACAACCACAGAACAACTACAGTCAAACATCACAATATTTGCCAGGACACCTATGTGAGGTGGTGCTGCTCTGGGAGTGAGCTTGCTTAGTTTGTAACTTACTTGTTATAACACAGCTCATTGATTAGTTCAGGGGAGTTGGAGATACCTCAAGGTCCCTTCCAAGCCAAACCATTCTCTGACTCTGTAACAGGTTTATGAATTGCAGTATTTTAGCATCACACTACTGAGACCACATTATGACACTGACCTGCAGGGAAGTTGGCAGATGTTGATGGAGCATCTCCCAGTGCTTGCATTCCTCCTGCCTCTGTCTCCTGGCCCGTGCCAGGCAGAGGAGGAACAGAGTGTCTACGATACCCTGGGCACTGCCTGCATACTATATACGGTTGACTGAAAGAATAAAATAAGGTCACAGGAAATCACACCCAACAAATGCAAGACAAAGTTGGTCAGACTCTCAAAGTTTAAATTTGGAATTTCCTCATCCAGTAACAGATGGAAGTTTACATAACTCAGTACCTCACAGCTATGAAGACTACTGTAGTTGTGACGGATAAATACTTTGGGTTTTGTAGCATTCCCCCAAGTTGATCTTAGCCAGAAACCTGTCTTCTGTAAATCAACAGCCAGTTTGTAACTGGAAAAGGTGACTTCACATATCTCACGTGAAGATGCTGCACAACAACTCAGGAAAGAACTGTTGGTCACAAACTGAATCTTGCTGACTTCTAGGAAGTTCTAATTTTAATTATTTTTTGCTGACTGCTCAAGGCTCAGTAGGATGCCCAGGAGAACTGCCAAGATAATCGCTGGTAAGAATGAGCTTACCCAAAAACAAAACTAAGATTCATTCTGGCAATGACCATGGAAACACTATCAGCAGTAACAGCATTTCTGAAACTAGCTCTCTTTGTGGGTTTGTGCTTTCAATCCTAATCACATCTAATTCAGCACACAACTTAAAAATAGACATACCTGATATCTGAAGATTCGCTATCTACATCTGACAATTCCAATAAATCTTCAGAACTTCCCTCCTCGTCTGAGAAAGATCTCCGCACCTTAGGCTGCAACATGTCTTGAGTGATTTTGTTCCTAGCATCCATGCTACGTACATCGTCTTCATTGCGACATTTATCTGGCACGGGAACCACATTCAAATTTCAAGGGAAAAGAACACCTCACACCCCTCATCTGTACCCCACATCACTAACACAGTTACAATTACTGTGTTTCACTCCCACAAAACTTGGGTTTGGATAACAGAGCTCTAGAAGATCTTAGTTTAGTTCCCATCCCTGTTAAAGAAGTGTGGTATCAGGCAACTTCAGTTTTGTTTTCAAGAGGCCATGATCAAAGTTAATTAAATCAATACTCAAGTATATTTCTCAGACGTATCTGGGTTTAGGTGGCCTATTTGATAAAACTGATCTCCTTCTGATACCCATCTCATGATTAAGTAACAAATTAAGAACTCTTAGCATACTCAGTTATAGTACTAAATCACCTTTCACAAGTCATTATGTCATGTTAAATGCACTTGTTTTCTTACAGCCATGTCAGAGAAATCAGCAGAGTAATAAAACACACATCGTACAGACAACACCGTGTGCACACATCAGTTATGCAGCTCATGTGTGAAATACATCAGATTCTGCTACACACACAGTTCCACTTGCCTGGATGCTGAATCAGGTAAGCTTCAACCAAGTTGTTCAATATGTGATTTTTACAAATACGTTCAACTGGACAACGACAAGTTGGACATAGAGAAGATCTTTCCATCCATCCTGAGTAGCAGGCAGCACAAAATGTATGCATACATGGCTGCAAGCTGAAAACAGAAACAAATGGAGTCAAAACACAAACCTCTAACTTTTCAAATACATTCAAAACACTGAAAAAACTGTTTTGCACTGATCTGACTGTGTAGATGGGGTATGTATGATGACTGTATAGAAAGGGGATTCAGAAGGGCTTGGAAAACTCCTCACCTCCTCAAACAGTTGCCACTGAACTCTTCTGCATTATTACCACATGATTACAGCTTCTGTCACTCATACATACCTTACACAGTCATGCAGCAGTTCTTGGCAGATAATGCAAGTTAATGTTTCTTCCATCTTATCTGGCTTCACATTCGATGCTTTTGCATCTTCAGAGCCAATTTTGATGATACATTCACTTGGAGCTGCTGGCGAAAGATTTGGACAAGTGTCTTCATCTACAAAACAGAATATTCCACAAGATAAAGTTTCTGAAGCTTTTTTAAACTTATTTTAAGTATTATAAAAAAGACCTGAAAGATACAGACTGATTCACTATTCACTGGCAATGGTCCCACAAGAGCTTTACACAGAACAGCTTCTGCTACTAAAGACATTATTTTCCCTAGATCAGAAATCAAGTCAGTAGGAAACCAACTGAAGGACTGACGACAGCTGATCTGATTCAGTTTGGAGGGGGTGGGGGTTAGGTTGTACAATACAGTAGTATACTAGCCTCCTTTTAGTTTCTTCTTAGCAGGTTCCAAATCTTCCTCCCCTGTTCTTGGAGAATCTGATTCTGCTCTTTCTTTGCCAGTGATTCCTGAAGCTATTGCAGAAGTTTCAGCATTCATATCCAAGTTTTCATGTTTGCCATGCAGTGCTTTTAGACACGCAGATTCTAAGATGGGGAAAGCAGGCACAGGAGTGACAACTGAGGGTCGTGATCCTATAAAATAAAACCAGAAACATGAATGCAGCTGCATACAGATACAGGACATGTGAAAACAAAAGGCACTCAAACCCTGATGAGGCATATACATCAATCTAAACATCTGATTAGGAAAAAGTGAAGCAGAAAACCAATGTCTGCATAACTTACTAAATGCATTCTGAAGCAATCTGACTAATTGAGAGAGCTGGGGGAAAACAAGCCATTAGTTGTGTAACTCTACTTAAAATCCCCATTCCTCTTCAAATGTTAGAGTATTTAGTCATAAGACTATTATCCACACCAGGTCTTCCTGACAAAGTTGCCAGGCAGAGGAGTTATGCAATACTGATCACACATAACAGGTTGGGATCACAGCAACGGGCAAAGCTTTGTTTTCATAGGAGCATGTTCTGAAAGTCCAAACGAACTGCTGACAAATGCACAAGCAATTCACACAACTGATCCACCAGGATTTACCCTGTCTGCGCAGAGAAAGTTAAAATGCACATATCCATCTGATATTTTCACTAGAACTTTACAAGGCAAATGATAAAGACCCAGGTAGGGTAAGAGATCAATCTGTTAAAATGCAAAACTGGTGATGGGATATCAAACTGTAAATACTTGACACAATTCTTACCAGTGCTGAACAGATGCAGACTCAACAAGAGAGGTAGAAGAAGCATTAAAGAGGTTAGATGTAGAAGTAGATGGCTGTGGTTCCTCATAGCAAGACTGAGTAGCTGACGTTGATGAGGTAATTTGGGTCTCATCATTACTTCTTCCTGTACTTGAGGTATCTTTGGTCACATGGCATTGGTTTTCTACATTAACTTCTACAGTTGGAAGGGGGGAAAGGAAAGAAAAATATCTGTGTGACAGTCACGATATCATGGCTTCAAAATTCCAAGGAATCAAACTCGCTCAAGAGGGTTACATTAGTCATTGGAGCTTAGCTCCTCTTCATGGATCTTGAATTACTTCCTTACCTACTGGTTCTTGAGTTGCATCATGTTTTGTGTTTAAGGATTCATAAAGATAAGCAACATCTGAAAGAGATTAAAAATATTTATCATAATTTTTAAACACAAATTCACTAACCTTCAACTCACATAAACAACCTCTATTCACAAGTGGCTGCTTCTCCAAAGTGTCTGACAATGGAAGAGGCAAATGAAGGGTCACCTCCATAGGACCATGTTAATACACCTACTTAGGAGGCAATTAGGAGCAGCACAGCAAGATCTTTTCTTCTCAGGAGACCAGGCAGAGCAGCTTTTGTGTGACGTTTAACTTGTGCCAGCCATGGAACCAGAGGCTTAGTCGTTTCTTAAACCTAAAATCTGCTCTGTGTCAGAACAAACTGTATTTTTACTGATACTTGAATCAGAGTTCTTTGAAGAAGCTTATTATTTCTGAGCTCACTTCTCAACTTCTTCAATCAATATTATTTCCTCTCTTTGTGAGATACATGAACTCTCAAAAATACAGATTAAGATATGACACAAGTTTCACCCAGAAACTAATTTAGAATCTATTAATAAAACCAACTGGATAACAACCTTTTCTTCTCCATCTTACGTCAGCTTTATACTGTTCCAAAGATTCCCCTAACCTGCTACATTTTTTTCATCTCCAACCACCTACAATCAACTAGGACTCTGTTGGTTTCCAGAAACCCTTCTTTTGATCAAAAGTTAAAATATTGTCACCTTCTGAACTACTCAGAATGGTCAAATAGGCATTCTCTCTGTCTTTGAAGATGGAAAAGCTGAAAAAGCAAAACTGGAGACTTAGTAATTCAAATACTCGTTAACCCAAATGGAAATCAGTGATTCAGCTCAACACAAAGTACCCAGAAAATCTGCCTGAGTTCATCTAAGTAGCATCAAGAGCAATAGTGCCAATTTAGAAAGGATTTGTGAGATAAGCAAGCCATTTGGACAAAAAAGTACAGCTTAATCACTGCTTCATGTAACATCTACATCAGACAGCATCAACCTGATCTCTCTGGATAGAAATTAACAGCAACTTCATAAAGGAAGTATTTTAGCAGTATGTATGCAGAATTTTTTGGATTAACAGTTCCTATGTCTGTTACTGTATGAAAATGGTTAATACAGTATTGTGTTTTACATTAACTATAATGCTATAAATGTATCTAATACTACACCCTCTCATCTCCCAGTACATCCAGTTATCTCCGCAATAACAGGGGAGCCTATGACCACACGAAGTCTCTCTGTTCACCTAAAAGTTCCACGTCAGAGGTATCAAAAAGAGCAGTGAGAATTTACACTGAAAAATGCCTCCTTCGTCTAAAGTCTTTACCAGAAAGTGAGTGCTCTCTGCTGAAATGCAAATATTACATACTTCACACTTTAAAGAATTGCACACCAATGGACACAGCAGTTGGCAGGGGCACAACAATACACACATAAAGCAGAGCGTGCCCATCTCCTCTCCCCTCCATTTATCAAGGCTGAACACATCTGTTATTTTGTAACAATGGGCAGTTAAATTATTTCTGTAAATCTTTTCAGTCAGCACTGAAATTAATGATCTGTGTAACTCAAGGAAATGGTATGAAATGAAAAGGTGTGAATGAAAATTCTGCTGCCTCAATAGTTATTATTTCCCAAATCCGTGATAAAAATCTTTTAAGACAGATGACAACACAGATAATTTATGAAATCTTCTATTAATTTTTTCCATTGCAACAACTAAGCATTTACACCTAAACCTTGGTCCCACATTTCTGCACAGTTGAACACATGACAGAAAATTACTTCCTGCCCAATGACAGCCTGGCTTCTCTGAAAACCTTTGAGGAAGGACCCCCATTGTTATTATTTAAAAAAAAATTAAAATATTTTCACAGCATCAACCTGAAAATAACTGTAGGCATGTAAGGCACAATTCTTCTTTAAGACCACAAAAAAAAAATCTTCCCAGGTTTACTAATTTTACTTTCCCTGTAGGGCTTTCTCCATCTCTCCCCCACCTTTTGCTTCTTCTCTCTTTAAAACAAAAACCAGCATACACTCACAAAAACTCAAGGAAAACCAAACAAAAAAAAAAAAAAAAAAAAAAACACAAACAAACAAAAAAAAACCCACAAAAAAAAAGCTTTTGCAGCCTTTCCTTCTGGTGCCAAATACTGCTTCACTGGGATATATAAAGTATCACTAACTACCCCAGCAATTTGACTTCTAAAAGAAGCACTTGGACATGTGATCAGAACCTCACTACTTACCATTCCATGCATTAACTCTACCAAAACTACTTCTAGGCACATTTCAAGTTCAGACAGTTGCCCAGACTTGTCTCTGTAAAACCTGGCACATCCACGACCTCTCCTCTAGAGACTTGTTTTTAAACATTAGCAAATTATTTATCTTAAATTTGAGTAGTTCTATTTCAATTACACTGATATTTCTCTTGTCTCGTGACTCAAAAGCAAATGCCTAAGCACTCTGTTCAAAAATATATTATTCACTTACTGTTCTCTGGCTCATTTTTTCTGTAAACAACATAGATCACATCCCCAGTCTGTAAGGGGTATGTCTGCTTCTTAACCACTTTCAGTTTATTAATTACAGTTCCATAAGTACTGTAAAGAGAAAGAAGAGATAACTTAGCATAAACATTTTCATAATTACATAGGAGAAGGGAGAACATGAGATACTTTTAAAAAAGAAAAAACTATTGGCTCCCCCCAAAAAGTAAGTCAGAATTAAAAAAACCAAAACAAAACCAAGTCCAGAAACAAAAGATTTCTCCCACAGACAGAAGTGCAGATCTGCTAGAACTTCAAAGCTCATTTGCATCTGCTGGTAAGAATCTCTGTAGCTGACAGACAAAAGATCCCTGACATTGCCAACATCTCAAAATAATTAGATGATTGTTTCTGTACAATAATATCCACCCTTTAAGTATAAAATCCAAAAGGACAATGGCAGTTCTGTTCAAAAGGTTCTAGGTTATGTTTTCCAGTTAACACTGGGAATCTAAGACATTCTGTGACAAAGGAACTTATCCTGTACAGTCAGGGATGACATGCAGCACTAATTTTTCTCTCCTCCTGCTTCAAATAGTGAAAAAACTAAAATTCTGAGGTTACTTAGACTGTTTGCAAGTCAAACGTGAGAAGTCAGTAAGGTGGAAAAAATAGTTACACATAATGAAAGATGAGTTGGAATGAATTATTTTGATATCGATAAAAAAATCCAAGACCCATGGAAGAAATTAAACTGGGTAAGAGGAAAATGCAGAGCACTGCTGATTAATTTCTTCATCTCCTTAACTATGAGTGATGTTGTATACACAAGCTATTAATGTTTTATGACCAAGTCAAGTTATTCAAGTACTGAATAATTCCAGCTCACTTGCAATAAGCCTCTTTCAGGCCTGCAGCACTCTAGAATTTCAGACTTCTGCTATTCAAAAATGTCAGTAATTAGTACCAAATATAAACGAACAAAAATAAATCTGCTTTTCCACCTCAGCAGAGGAAGCTGCAGCATGAAGTAACAGCAAACCTGTGCTGCCACCTCCTGGAGGCACCACCTGCGCCCAGGACACCACAGCCTTAGGCAGAGCAGTTCCTCTCCAGGCAGGGGTGGTTATTTAGAAATAAACACCTTCCCTTTTCATTAGTTTTCTTTTAAAAAGCAAACTGAAAAAATCTCTTGCCATTTAGTAACACGAGCAGAGAAAGGAACCTAGAACACTGTACTGTTGACCTTTTCAGACACCAAGTCAAAAGCATTTGACGTTGAACAGTTAAAAGGAAAATCAAACCCTTTTGAATCACTACAGCAAATCCTGATCAAGGTATTAGTTCTTGCTCTTACTGCTGCAACTGCTTTCACTATCTACACAGCTGAATCAACTAATTCAACATAAATTAAAAACTACCAAAAAAAATTAAATAAATGCTACTTTAAACACGAAGAAACAAACAAAAACCTTTGTGTCACATTGGTATTTGCTCTATTAAAGAAACTTCAAGCTTTTCCTACAGGCAAGAAAACTATTTGAAGCTTGTCTTTTTACCTCAGGCATACAGACTGACTAGCCTGAAAGACATAAGCACCAGGGAACCAGCAGAACAGAGAAATCACTCAATATATGCCAAAGTTTAGCAATTGAGAGTAAAAAAGAATTTTCGGCAGTTTGTTGGAAATTACACTAATTTTTGAGTTCATATTGATGGTAGTGATAATATACTTAAAAAGATCATGTTGAAGCAAAATTGTACATCCTTCAGTTGTCAAAAGAAACAGCAAAGCTTACACCAAACCCTGAAACCTGTCAGAGATCCTTTAATAAAACTAGCAAACATCAATTTGACCTCCTTAGTTTTCCAGAAGGCACAACAAAGTATGCACCTCCCATCTGCCCTAAGTGCTCTAGACCTTCTTTTGTAATAAAACAGCAACACTCAAGTAACAGGACTTGTCTCCTACTGAGGTTTAGCTTCTACAGGCGATTTCTAGCCCAAATATTTCACTTAACATCAGGGGAAAACATCACAGCAATGTATTTTATGAAATCATCCTGTCATGACTCCAAGTTCCAAGATGGTTCTGGGGGACAATAACTCAAGTTATTGAGTCCAGAGAAGAACAAGAAGACTGGTGAAGGGACTCGAGTACAAGTGCCATGAGGAGAGGCTGAGGGAGCTGGGGGTGTTCAGCCTGGAGAAGAGGAGGCTCAGGGGAGACCTTATCACCCTCTACAACGCCCTGACAGGAGGTTGGAGTCAGGAGGGGGTTGGTCTCTTCTCCCAGGCAACTAGCAGTAGGACAAGAGAGCACAGACTCAAGCTCTGCCAGGGGAGGGATAGGTTGGATATTAGGAAGATATTTTTTTACGGAGAGAGTGATGAGGCATTGGAATGTGCTGCCCAGGGAGGTTGTGGATTCACCATCCCTGGAGGTTTTCAAGATGAGACTGGATGTGGCACTTAGTGCCATGGTCTGGTAACCATGGTAGGGTTGGATTTGATGATCTTGGAGGTCTTTTCCAATGTGGTTGATTACATGATTCTGTGAAGTGAGGTATTCTTGGAAAAAGGAAAGAAAAAACCCCCAAACATCACATGTCTAGTAACCACTCATGCTTGGTCTTACATAGCAAACTGCAGAAACAGCCATGCAAGACCTTAATTGTCAAACTGACTACAAACAGACAGATCTTCTCAGTCCTGCAGTGACACAAACTTCAGTGGGAGCTGACATGAGTTATTTGGCACACATGGACCCAAATGAAGTAGGAATGGATGGATATCACTTAACACAGAAAACCATAAGCCATACATTCAATACATTAGCAAACTAAAGCAGTTATATTTATCTCTCAGCCAATAATCAAAGGGAAAAAATATCCAACCACCCCAGATAATTGTATTAGTCTTTCATTTCCAGTTTCAGGCTTTAGCAGGAGACTTTTAACAGCTATGGTGACATTTCAGATTAACGTTGTGGGTATTTTTTAACTCGACACACATGATAAGATATAACAATTGTACATTCCTGTGATGTTTCAAATTAAAGTAAGGTCCCCATAATGTAAGTAGAAAGTACAACTAGAACCCCAAATACGAAGCGATTCATTAGGACTTAATATTGAATTGATGCCAACTGGCTGTACAATTTTTCAAGAGCAGAAGAAAAACAGTACTATCAGATATAAATTATCTGTGTGGTGAAAAAAATGTCACAAAAGGTCCTAATGTCACTTAGCTAAAGACTAGGGGAAAAAAATCATGCCTTGACTCAATTCCAATGTGGTTGATGACTCCACAGTTTCATTAATGAACTACTAATTTCCTTTACTCCCCAATCCCAAGTCCTGTGCAGAATTGATGTGCACAGCTACACTCAGAACAGGGTTACTTTTGAAGTAGGTGAATGATCTGTGTTGTAAGATACTTTGGGATCCTTCCAAGAAACATACCAGTCTGGTACTTTTTACTAATTACTAGCATCCATCCAGGAAAAGAATCAGATTTATGTTAAAGTTTCTGGGTTAATAGTTTTAATAGTTATCTCCTATTTAAATGTATACTACCCTGAACATACCATAAACTGAGTTTTGAATTCTATTAAGATACAGAATCCTTCCTGTACTGTAACTCCCCATTCTTTTAATCTTCATAGAAATAGTTTTGACTGGTAGGGTGAGGAGAATTTAGTAGCAGAAAGGACACCAGCACCAACTGAAGACCAATTTCTGATTTACTCATAGAAAGGGAGTATCTCCTTGCCTTAATATCAGCCTTGTGTAAAGTTTCCTGTTCTGATACATCACTTACTACTTAGAATCTTTAAAAAAAATCCTACAAGATAACAAGAAGAGGTTTTAAAAAAAAATACATTAGTTGCATTTAAAATTTCTTCTTCAAAATGGAGAATCTCACAATTGCTTTTGCTTGGGCCAAGCCAACTGCTGCCTCCACTGCGTTAGGTCAGTTTGTGTCGTTTGTTTTCTTTCAAGCAGTATAAAGCAACTAGGACATGGTTTGGAAAATAAAGCAGAAACATATCCCCAAAAAGGGCAACACTGTGAGTATTTTATTGTTCTACTTGTTAACTCTTAGCTTTTGTTACTTCCTAACTTCTGTTTACTCAATTTTGAGTTCTCTACACATTTTCTTTCACCTGCAAATTTATGGTAATTATTTCCAAAGTAGATTCAAGAACTCACTATGCTGTCAGGGAGATAAAAACCAATGCTGGCCCTCGATATATATTTGATGATATTTTTTTGAGTTAGCCACAATACAGAAACTAAGTCCACTCAGTCTTACTGTTGTGCACTAACTGCCTCCTTCAATGCATTCCTCCCCACCAGAAAAATCTGAGCTTGACCACAGCAATGTTTCCAAACTCTTTTCCACTTCAGAGAAGAAAAAGCTGACATTGCAGTATTTTTCTGGGACTCTGGGCATCTGTTTTGCCAACCCAAACATTCAAAAAATCGTCTTCTTTCAGCCTGCTTGATTTCTTTGGAAGTCCTCTGATGTTTGGCACAAACACTGGAAGACCCAGAAGAACCGGAAGTGTTTTCCAAGGAGTCATATCAACTCATTTGGTTTCTTGATTCAGCAAACGGTTATGCACTTCACACCAACACACAGGCAAGACTAACAGGCACAGGATCTTACTCTTCTCTGTTAGATACACCAATGTGTAACAGGCACAAGCAGCTTGCTGGCAGTACTCCATGGGTGCAGCCTTTCTGCTACACTACCTTGTAACAAGCCTCACCTTTTCATTAATATATCATACAGACAATTAACTTTAATTTGGCTTTGCTAGTTTTCTGCTGTCTGCACCTTCTGCCTCAGGGGGTGGGTAGGGAAGGAAAAAAAAAAGAGGCAGGAATGTTTCTGCATTGTGCACAATTTATTTAGCTTGTTTTATCCTAACATTGGTTTAAACCAATTCTAACAGGGACAGCTTCTAAAGCTTAGATTTACAGTGATGCTCTGAAACTGCCATGACAGGCAAACATGGCTTGAGTTGTTGCTTGAAATGTCTTGAAACTTACGATTACATTGGAGAATGGTAATTATAAGCCTTTTCCAAGACATCTTAACTAGGCCTGATATTTTTCCCAAAAATCTAGTCATCCCACAGCTTCTGGGAGTATAACCCCTCCAGGAATCTATTCAGGAACCTATCCTGGATCTACTGGACCTACCCTAGCAACAACCTTGATGAGGAGAGGAAGTACACCCTCACCAAGTCTGCAGCAGACCACAAAGCAGGGGCAGATCTGGGCTGCCATCAGGGACACTTTGGCAAGCCACAGGAATGGGCTGATGGGAATGTCATGACATTCAATACGGACAAACCCCAAGTCCTGTGCCTGGGATGGAATAACCACCTGCAGCAGGCTAGAGACAGACCAGCAACAGCTCTTGGTGGATCTTATGACTAAGCATAAGATCACACACCTTGGACTTCTGCCTAGGCTTAAGTCAGCAGCCTGTCCTGGCAGTGATGAAAGCCTACAGAACACCTGGCTGTATTAACAGGAGTGTCACCTCAAACTCAAAGTGATTATTCTTTTTTACTTGGAATTCATTCATCCACATCTAAATATTACACCTACTTTTGGGTCAGCTGGTACAAGGAAGGACTCAAGCCAGCCCAGTGGAAAGCCATGGATATGGCCAGAGGGCTGCAGCAAAAGACCCATGAGCTAAGGGGTCAGGGGAACTGGGCTTGTTTTGCCCAGGATAAGGAGACTTGGTGCACAGGGGACTTCACACCAACCTTCCAGTACCTATAAGCAACACACCAAGAAGACAGAGGCAGGATCTTTACTGAGATGACAAAGGTCGTAAGTTGAAACAAGGAAGATTCAAATGGATGCAAGGAAAAAAATATTTTAAAAATCATTGTCATAATTAAGATGTGTAATAAGGGTCCTGAGAGGTTACAAAATCTCTGTCCTGGGAGATTTTCAAGACCTGACTAAGGAAATCCTAAACAAACACTGCCCAAACCCAGTGGTGGACCATCTTTGACAGAGTTTCAACTAAGTGTCCTTCCGAGGTATTTTCCAACCTGAGCAATTTTGTATGTTCAGTTTTACTTGAGGAAATAAAATAAATGCATATCCCACATACATATCTGGAAGAGGGTTCCTCACCCTGAAGTAGATTCCGTTTAATATCAACATAGCTACGAAGCGA